TCTGTTGGGTAGGCTGACCCAGTCTTGTGCTGAAGCCCCAGACAAAAATAAGATCAAGTCCAGCTAAAGAAGAAAGACAGCAAGGACAGCAGCCTCCCTGTGCTGACTATTCCTGATTCCGATTTTGAGCCACATCCTGTTTGCAGAAAAGTTCTTCACCTTCTTGAATGGCCCTCTGTAGTGTTGCTTCTTCATTTCCCTGAGGGATTTCTTTCTGATCATCTTATCCTGGACTCTTCTCTTTTTACTTATTCTAGGTCTTTCTTGTTCCCTCCCTCCCTCCCTCCTTCCCTCCCTTCCTCCTTCCTTCCTTCCTTCTCCCCTCCCTTCCTTCCTTTTCTGTCTCTCTCTGTTTAAATCAGTGCTCTCTTAAAATGTTGTACCTTTAATTATATCCATTTCTCCCATGATCTGGCCAAAACTTCAAGAATGGTGATATTTTTGGATTTGATCTTGGTAAGCATGTGGCTTGAATTTGAAATACCTTATTTAGTTCCCTCACATTAAACTTAGGGACACTAAAAATTCCTGAGGACTTTGTCACATTAATCACTATGCCAAATGTCATTGATTTTTGCTTGCAAATTGTAGCAACTGTATGTGTATTTCAGGCCATATCAGGAACAATTTTAACAACATTTTGTGTGTATATATGCGCATGCATAGGCATATGAGGGCATACGTGCACATGGTCACATACTCCTCATTTTTTCCCCACTTGGACCTAACATGGTATATAGTTTTTAGTGACATCTATAAATGTTTATCGAGAAATTCATATGCCTTGTGGTTTTGTGTAGCCCTTCAGGGGCATTTTCATTAAATTTAGAAAAGTCATACATCCTAGTGAACCTATACTGCTTAGAAATTCCAGAATGATATCACAAATAGTTTTATTTACTTTATGAACATTATTGATAAACTATCAGTTTAATTAGAACTCCAATTAACATGAATTGCTAATTTTCTTAAATTGTGGTTGTATAAAAAACTTGGAATCCTATAAGTAATTTTTCTCCTTCTTTTATATCCTGTAGATATTAGCTTCACTTATACCAACCATCTGTTCCATAATTTCTTGTTTCTTGGTGTCCTGTTAGGAAGAAAGGCAAGTGATGATGTTGTTACCTTTATCACTATAGATGTTTAATAGGCATCTGTATCTCACTAAGAAAGAAGCATTTTCAGACTATTGTTCTGTATCTGCAGACGTTAGTGTCTAAGGATATTCTAGGACCCAATATAAGTTCTATATTCAGCATGAAGAAGAATTTGGCTGCTCAAGGATAATCTAATGAAATGTATTATAAATTCCTTTTTTTTCTTTTTATGGTTATGGGGCTTGAACTCAGGGCTGGGTGCTGTCACTGAGCTCAAAGCTAGTACTCTACCACTTTGAGCCACAGTGCCACTTCTAGAGGTTAATTGGAGAGAAGAGTCTTATGGACTTTCCAGCCTAGGCTGGCTTTGAATCTTGATCCTCAGATCTCTGCCTCCTGAGTAGCTAGGATTACAGATGTAAGCCACCAGCACCCAGCATACATTCCTTTTATGAGCAAATCCTAATTTCAGGAGAGTGAATGTGTTGGTTTGCTAGGGCTGCCGTAATGAAGTACCACAGATTAGGTGGCTCAAACACAGACAGACATTTATTTCCTTACAGTTCTGATCAAGGTGTTGGCAGACTTTGTGAAGGCCTATCTCCTTGGCTTGTCTCCTACTGTCTTCTCCCATGCCTATGTTCTTATAGCCTTCTCTTCTTCCTAAAGATACCAGACACATTGGATTGGGATCCACCTACATGACCTTGTTTACTATAGTTATCTGTTCAAAGGCTTTGCCTCCATATACAGGCACACTCTAGAGGGACGGGAGGTTAGGACTTAGGATTGTACATTTGAATTGGGAGCACAATTGAGTGTACAGAAGGGAATGCTATGGCTGCTTGAAAGTCCCATTCAGATATTAGAGTCTTAGGTTGCTAAAATGCTAATGACTATTTAATAAATATATGGGTATGTATTAGTCTTTTTTTAGATGCAATTGCTGCCTTCTTTTCCATTGGTATTCTTTAATCTTACTAATTACTTAAAGCTACTAGTTTCTCCAAAATGACTGGTGAATGGTGTTATGGCTCAGTCTCTTATACCTGAGATATACAAATTAAAAAGGAGAAACTCATGGATTCAGATGAAACTCATGGTTTTGGCTCATGGATTCAGACCATGGTCATTTAGTCTCATTGCTTTGGGCCTGCAAAACAGATAGGGAGCATGCTGGAGCCTAGCTGTCATGGTGGCCTCTTGAGGCCGTGGTAATGAGCTCCCAATATCATCTAGGATGACACACTGCCAATGGCCTAACTTTTCCCACTAGGTCCCACCTCTGAACAGTCCTGCCACCTTGCAGCACAACCATCAAATGAGGATCAAGCCTGCAACACATGAAACGGAAGGGGAAATTTAAGATCCCAAATCTAAAAGATGACTCTCTCTTTTGGAATTCTGGGATAAATCTTTAACCAGAAAACAAAAGGAATCTTGGGTACTTCTCTCTAAAATAGTATAATTGAGTATTTATTTTGTTTGGTCAAGTTGTGGTGTTATAACTAGCTCCTTAAATTTGGAGAGTAGATGTGTAAGGAATCTAAGTCCCTCCAAATGGAGTAATTTGTACTGGATACTTACTCCACTTTTGTTATTTTTAGGGTACCTGTTCATTCCTAAACAACTATCAATTATAGCATTAGAAATATGGGAACAAGGTAAAAACTACATCAAGTTCATACACTTAGTTTGTATATATGGCAGCCTGAAGACCTAAGGGTCCCAGAAGATATGGACCAGTAACTCCAAAGACCAAATTCCACATGAGTAGAGGTTTGAAGGCGAAGTAGATTAGGGTGGTTGATTTGGGGGTTACTTAGTGCAGAAGCTATGGCCTAGATTAAATATAGTTGTCATGGTTTAGATGTGGGCTCAAAAAAAATTGGAGGTAAATAATATTAACACTAGGGTGGTAGATAACCGAATTCGTTTTATAATGAGATGATGGAAAAGTATTGGTGGAAAAGAGCTTAGAATGAACTACAGCAGTGGCTTCTCCATCTTAGTGTCAAAATAACATGGATAGCATTCAAAAACACCAGAACCAGGTTTCAACCTTAGAGAACTTTACTTAGATGGGCATGGTTCTTGACATCTTTTTTTAAGTTACTAGAGTAAATCTGTTTGAGATTTAAGTGAAGGGGCTGGGAAGGTAGCTCAGTGGTAGAGCGCTTGCCTTGCATGCATGAGGCCCTGGGTTCAATTCCTCAACACCACATAAGCAAAAAGAAAAAAGCTGGAAGTGGCGCTGTAGCTCAAGTGGTAGAGTGCTAGCCTTGAGCTGAAGAGCTGAGGGACAGCGCCCAGGCCCAGAGTTCAGGCCCCACAACCGTACCCCCCCCAAAAAAAAAAGCAAAAAAAAAAGTTTTAAGTGAAATCAGGGTTTAAGTTTATGGCTTCACTGCCAAATCATGGCCACACAGCCTCCCCTTAAAATATTTTTACTAGAATATATTAATTGCACATTGTAATATTTGCATATATGCATATAATATGCCAAGATTGAACTGAGTCCTCTATTACTCTCTTCCCCTCCTCCTTTTGAAAACAATCTCAGCAGCTTTCCTTGTCCTATTTTCATAATCCATGTGAAGTGGTTCTAGAACTCACCCTCTCTGTACTGTTTTCTGTATATCCCATAAACTAGGAATGGTTTCTGAATTTTGAGATGGTTGGAAAAAAATTGTAAGAATAATGTTTTGTGATACATGAAAATTATAGGAAAATGCAGACTACGGCATCACAATTCAAATTTGGTTGGAACATAGCTCATTTATTTGCATTCTATGTGTCTATAGAATACAAAAACTACTACATTTACATTTTAATGTGATTTTCATCCCTTCTAACTTCTATTTCCATTCCCTCAACCCTCTTTTAGTCTTATTTATGATCAGTGCCAGCTGAGTACCAAAGAACATTTCCTTATTCAAAATTTTAAAGAAGAGAACAGTATTTATAGGAATGATTTTAGTATCAAAATACAGTTTGAACAAGAGTTAAAAATTGAAATTTTCTTATTTATTTCTTTTGCCTTATGATTTTCATCCACTTGAATTGAGAAAACAAGAAAAATATGAAGGTTAGGAAAATTAGCATAAATGGAAAACAACCGAGAAAGCTAAATCCCTGTTATTAGGCCATGTATGTACAGAAAGGCAGCCACCATTTGCTTTTAAACCAGCCCATTCAGTTCAGAATGAGTGCATCCTTATGCTTGGGTGGACTACTGTAGACCTTTGCTTTTTTGTTTTTTGACTTATATTTTTGGCGGTAGTAATATTAGGGGTAGGAGGAGTCTTAATATATCGGTTTTGTTAGAATAGAATCATAGGTAATTGTTAAAATAATGAGCATGTACCAACTGAACTGACAGGAAAAAATTATTTCTAACTAGTTTATTATTCATCATTAGATGATAATTATCAGTGACCTTGAGAGTCTCCTTGTAAAGCTGTTGGTATTATAAGGAAGACCATATTCATATTCACATGTTCTCATTTTTACCTGCTCCTCCTCCCCCTCCACACACAGTTGTGAAGTGGCTACAGTCCCACGCATATTTATCCTACAGCCACCTGGAAGGAGGCCAATAATGTCATTACGGATGGCAGAATGCCCAGACAATCTTAAAAAGGCATTGTCTCTGCTACTAATTAAGTTTCAGGAAGGATGTTCGCTTTTATATTAAGCATTTGGGAAAGGCTGAAGGCAGATATGTTAGAAGCAGTCTTCTTAAATTCATGCTTAAATTTTGTTGTCCTTTGGCAATCTTGTAGGTTTGGATCATATGTTTGATGTTGGATGGTTTGGGAAGAAAAGAAAAAGTAGGTAATATTTGTATGTTTTATATTTCATGCTGGGGCCTCAGTTTATTTTCCTTTACTTTTTCAGGGTTCTGTATATTGGCCTGGCCTGCAATACTGCTCGCTATATTTATATTTCCTATCTGGAAAATGCCTGGACTGTGCTCCCCATGGAAGTTCTTCAAGGTGAGTTAACAGATGGAATTAGAATCATTTCTAGACCAAATTAAGCAGTGACTACTTAAAAGTGCAGTGGCCTCTGGCATCGAATTATACAAAGGAAGGGTGGGTCTACTGTTACAGGATTTTGAAGTGGTCTGTTACAGAGGAGATGGCGTCAAGGTACTGGTCCCTACAGTTACTCCAAGTGCTGCTCTGTGAGAGCAAAAAACCTGGATGATTAAACAAAGAAAGAGGAATTCTTAGAATAAATGTGCTGTTGTTAAACAGAAAGCATACAAAAGTGGGCTTAAATAGAATAAATTTATTTTCCAAAGGTTTAGGTGCTTCTGTTTTGTCAAAATTATTTTATCTCTTCAACTATTTTTTATTATATCTGGTGGTTTACAACCAAAGCTGTATAGTCACACTATTGTTTTGTATGAATTGTCTATGTTCAAATATTCCTGATCCAAATTCCTCTTCTTACTTCAGTAAACTGCTTCCCATCAAGACATAAGTCTAAAAACAAAATTCTTGGAAGCACTTTCCATGTGGCTGAAGAGCTCTGAAAACATGGATTTGTATTAAAGGAGAGTGTTTTGCCATTTTAGCCCATATAACTAATCCTGACTAGATCCTGAATAATAACCAAGACCACTATGGCCAACATAGTGATTAGCATTATGAGTAGATAGGATAAGATCACTAGAGTTGAATGGACTATGATAGTGTAGGCTCCCTAAATCATTAATTTTACTAACTTTCATTAGTTTTATTAAACATTGCCATTATCATCTTACCCTCACACTAAGGATGCAAACACAGTTCGATGAACATAATTTCTTATCATTTAAATCCTTTAAGATAAAAGAATACACACAATTTGACATCTAAACAGAATGTTCAAAATTAAAGCTTACTCATCAGATTCCATCATGACAATGAAAAAGCGAAATACTTATTTGAATGATACACAATTTATATTTATATTCTAATTATGAAATTTGAAAATCAACACACTTTAAAGAAGCTTTTCTTAGAGCTAATGCAATGGTGTAACAGTGAAAGGATATTTGTTTATAAACATATAGAAAATTAGACTTACAAAAAGAAATTATTGCAAACAGCCCTTAATGGCTCAAGCCTGTAATACTAGTTACTCAAGAGGCTGAGATTTGAGGATCACAGTCCAAAACCATCCCAGGGAGCAAACTCTTAGATTCTCATCTTCAATGAACTGCCCTAAAACAGGAAGTACAGCTATGACCCAAGTGGTAGAGGTCTAGCCTTGATCACAACAGCTCAGGGACAGTGCCCATGCCCTGAGTTCAAGACCCAGGATCCCAACATATAAAGGAAGTTACTGTTGTTTGTAAGAGAATTGTGAAAGGGTCTTAAGGTGAGGTTCATATCTCAGCATTGTGTCACTTAAAAACGTAGAGAGAGACTTCTCTGAAGAGGATAAGAATGGCCAATAGACACGTGAAGAAATGCTCAACTTCTCTCGCCATAAAAGAAATGCAAATCACAACAACATTGAGATTCCACCACACACCAGTTAGAATGGCTATAATCAAGAAATCTAATAACAACAGATGCTGGAGGGGATGTGGCCAAAAGGGAACCTTACTGCATTGTTGGTGGGAGTATAAACTAGTTCAACCATTCTGGAAAGCAGTGTGAAGGTTCCTCAAAAGACTCCACATAGAGCATAGACCTCCCCTATGACCCAGCAATCCCACTTTTGGGCATTTACACAAACAAGGCCACACTAAAGCTACCAGCACAACTATGTTTATCACAGCATTATCTACTATAGCTAAGATATGGAACCAACCCAGATGCCCCTCAGTAGATGAATGGATCAAGAAAATGTTTTATATATATATATATATATATATTATATATATATATATATATATATATATATATATATATATGGAATTCTATGCCTCCATCAGAAAGAATGACACCGCCCAAATGGAAAGAATTGGAAAAAATTATATTAAGTGAATTAAGCCAGACCCAAAGAAATATTGGTCCCATGGTTTCCCTTATTTGCAATAACTAGTATATGTCTAGGATAATCTTATCAGACAAGCAGAAAATGTCAAAAGCTATGTACATATGACCATATAAGATTATGCTAAGTGAAATGAGCCCCGAGATAGGACACAAAAGTTGTTTTTTTCTTTGTTGCTGTTGTTTTTAATGTACTATTTAATTTTTTTGTTTCTTTTGTATATTTTCCCCCCATGGTATAACCCTGTTTTCACTGTATTTGATTCCAGTGCCCTGCATCTTATATATACATTTTTCTAATTAGGGGAAGGAAAATAACAAAATGCTCAAACAAGGATACAGGTTGACCCATTGTAACAATGAGATATGTACATTGGGCTGGGAAGGTGACTCAGTCGTAGAGCGCTTGCCTTGTATGCATGAGGCCCTGGGTTTGATTCCTCAGCACCACATAAGCAAAAAGAAAAAAAAGCTGGAAGTGACGCTGTGGCTCAGGTGGTAGAGTGCTAGCCTTGAGCTGAAGAGCTGAGGGACAGCACCCAGGCCCAGAGTTCAGGCACCACGACCAGAAAAAAACAAAAACAAAAACAAAAACCAATGAGATGTACAAGACACTATGTTGAAATGAACTTTACAACTTGGGGGGGGGTGGGAAGGGAGGAGTTGGGGAGGTTGGAGGGAAGGCATGGTAGGGGAAAAACAAAGGAGGGGGTATCAATGCTTGATAGGAAATTACCTTACTTATGTAACTGTAACCCCTCTGTACAGTATCTTTACAACAAAAAATTTTAAAAAATAACAAGTCATTAAACATGAATTACAAGAAAGAACTGCATAATAACACAGTAGATACAACCCAGTTACTGGGATTTCTTATTCCGACTCCATTCTCTCCTGTCTGGCTTATTTGATTGTCCCAGAGTGTGAGATTTGTATATCTACTGAAGAATATATTGCAATAACGTATACATATATTTATTTTTTCTCCTTTAATATGAGTTAGATGGATGCATTTGCCTAAGAAACTCAAGAAAATATAGCATTCGTAAATGGCTAAAAGAACAACAGGAAATTTTTCTAAAAGGGAAAAATCAAAATGCTATTGTGAATTTAAGAATCTTTTACTGTTAATTTATCAAAGATGAATTAAGTGGCTGAAATCCAGGCAACATGTCGAATGTATGAAATATATTTAAAAAATAATAAAGGCCTTGAGGTCTCACCATGTGTTCTGGAAGGCAGATGTGTAAACACATAATTACTATTCAGTATGCTAGGTAGAGTAACAGAAAAAATGCACTAGGTAACAGACAATTTGCTCAGTAGAGGGAATAATTAGCTTTGTGAAGCAGGGAGTGAGAAGACAATTTACTGAAAAACTCCCTAAGGAAATAACATACACGCTGGAGTTTGAAAGGCTTATAGGAATTCACCAGGTGACCTAAAGAGAACAGGCATCCTGGCACATGGAAAAGCATTGTACCAATGTGTCAAAGGGGGAAAACCCAGAAACTTCAACAACATGGTGGTGTACTGTGGTCAGGGCTCAATAGATTTATCATGCCATGCTGCTCAGCTACGACATGCCAATACTCAGGGCATGTTATCTCAGAATTTAGGCATCTGAATCTAATGTGTATTTAAAAAGAATTCTACTTCCTGTGGCCAACTACAGTTTATAGTGTGTTTCTATTAGTTTCCCCCTGTGCCTTTAGAAACCTACTTATCAAAAGTAAGTTAAAACAACAAATAAAAAAGATCTGCACAGCCTCCTAGTCAAACAGAGGGTTCTGTGACCACATTCCACAGAGCTCATTGTTTCTCAAGCTAGAGAGATTGTTTCATTTCCTGGCACAAGCGAATGCTGCAAAGGTTTTGGCTGCACAACCCAAACAAAATTCCTTGCCTTTGTTTGACCCATGCCTAGCCCACAGAAAACAGTGGACCATCTATGTAGAATAAATCCTGCATCACAGACATCTATTTCATATTGTGAAGCTTTGTTTTGGCAGTTTTGATTCTGCTGCCCATATACGGGCTTGTCTAAATGACCTGAAAGTCCCTATGCTTAAAAAGGGGACTCTACTTAGGAAGCAATAGAAACAAGCAATGATCAGACCAAAACACTAATAATTGGTTATAGACTGGCCTACTATCTTGATAGATACCCCTTATTCCACTGACTGGGAAATTGTGCCTTTTACCCATGCTTTAGGAAGGAGAAGGCTGGAAATGTGTGTTCCTATCACGTGATGATCTTGACACTGAAAAATCAGCACTTTAATTCTTTTTTTTTTCTTTTTTTGTTGGTCGTGGGGCTTGAACTCTGGCCCTGGGCACAGTCCCTTGCGCTCTCCAGCTCAAGGCCAGAGCGCTCTACCTCTTGAGCCACGGTACCACTTCTGGTTTTCTAGTGGTTTATTGGAGATAAGAGTCTCACAGATGGGGGGGGGGGAGGGAAGATGGGAAGGGATGGGAAGGGTAAACAAAGGAGGAGGCTACAATGCTTGTTAAGAAATGTACTCACTATCTTGCCCATGTAATTGTAACCCCTCTGTACAGTATTTTCACAATAAAAAAAAAAGAAGAAAAAAAAAAGTCTCAACAGACTTTTCTCCTGGGGCCGGCTCTGAACTGTGATCCTCAGATCTCAGCCTCGTGAGTAGCTAGGATTACAGGTGTGAGCCACTGGCACCCAGCAGCACTTTAATTCCTTGTTAACCAGTCACACTCAAGAAGGTCCTCTTTAAAAAAATCAGCAAAGATGATTAACCTTTTATCTCTCACCTGAAATGAAAACTGATACTACCCAATGGGTAGCTAGACACAAAAGCTGTGCTGTAATTCTTGTTACCAGCTACCATCTCATCCATCGCATCCTATTTGGAGATTACATGCAACTAATGTAGGAAAATTTCTTGTTTTACCTCATTTCTAGGAGCTCTTGATTATCTTGTCATCATTTGGTCTCCTTAAGCCATGCTGATAATAATAAGCAGTTA